ATCGTATTATACACTCAAATAGACTTAAACAATTGTATCTAAATCATCCTAAACTCATTTTAAAGTGATTGCTTACAAGATTACACTCCAAAATTTACCAAACTTCAGTTTATAGATCCAAATTGAATTATACTAGTTTTAGCTTGTTTTTAAACAAGTCAGGGACTCCAACAAGTCCCAAAAGACTTATTAACACCAACCAAAATGATCATTTAGACCCATAACCCTAAATTCAACTTTTCACTAGTTCAAACCCCCTTTAAACTAATTCTAGACCCAGCTAAACTATACTTACCAACTACCAAACATTCTTACTTCCATTTTCTTCCATATCAATGTTTTAACAAATCATAAAACCTCCCATAACAGACCCAAAATACCACAAACCACTTTTCCTTCCCTCTCTCATAACTTCAATACCTAAAACCTCATATTTTTCTTCAAACACCACCAACAATCCTAAGTTTTCAACTCTTTCTTCTCTAAACTACACAATACACATTCAAAACATAAAATTTAACACATAAACATTCACTTCCAATCCAAATCATCATCCAATACCATTCACAACATTTTATCACCACATTCTCAAGAACACTCAATTAATTTTGTTACAACTAGCATACCATAAAATTTCACCCAAACAGTTTACTATTCATATATTTTTCAAACTTACACTACCAATCATTTATTAAAGAACAATCTAACTTCCCTTACCTCTAAACCAATTGTCCTAACTTCTCAAAATGTTCCACCGATTTCTTCCACCACAAGAAACTTCTAAAAACACCTACAAATCACCGATTGGTGATTGAAGACAGACTTTAGAACCTCAATTGAACCAAGAATCCAGAAAGAGAAGTTCTTAACACATGCAAAACAAAATCCCTTTGCATGATCATGAACTCTAAAAATATCAAAGGAAGGAGTACAAACTTACTTGCTCTAAACAACGAATTGATTGGGTAGATTTGTAGGCTTTGGCCCCGTGATCGTCTAGGTACCTCATGATCGTCAAACATATGATCAATGAGTTAAAACGCTTAAAGTGTGTTTTAAATAATGAGATAAGTTTATAAAATTCTATTTATATTATGAAATTATTTTATAATAAAGTCGGTTTCATTATTTTAATACACCTACCAACTTTAATACTTTATTTTCTAGGTTTTTATAAATATGAATATAAAATATACATTATAAATATTATACTTTTAAAATATAATTAAAAGTAAAATAAAAATATGAAATATGTATACCAAAATTGTTAGATTTTCACTATCATAGTTAACAATTTTAATATTACCCAATAATTCAAATTTATCTTAAATTTAATTTTTAAAGAACCTATAATAAAACTTAAATAAAAGGTCATAATGAAAGTTAATTAATTTAAAGGAATTTTCTTATCAAAACATCTATTTAAAATTACTTTTAATTAGTTGATACAATAATGCATAATAAATTAACTCATTTATATTATACAATACTACACTTGTGATTGCTTAAAGTCATTTCTAGAAAAATATATTTACAGAAAGAACTTCTCAAACATTCTTGATTCTGAAAAATGACATTTCTAAAATATAATTTCTAAAAATGGAATATATGATAGCATCTTAAAGCAAAAACAGTATTAAACATTTCATATTAAATAATTATCAAAAGCAAAGAAAGACGAATAGGAAAAGCCAAAATGAAAGAAATGATTTAGTTTTGTGTATCTTATACTAGTGTTTGTGAGTGGTAGGACATAACCATGAGAAGGTAGTAGTGGGATTCAATGAAAAAGAAAAAAAAAAAGAGAGAAGAGGGTGGAATGAGAGTATACACATAATCCAAGTCATTATGAATGGATGAAGATGACACCTCACTCAAGAATTAAATTAACCAGGAAGGAAGGAAGGAACTGAAAGAAACCCTCTCCTTTTTCTCTTCAACAAACCCCTTCTTCAACTCCAATCTCTTTATTTATTTTTTCTTTTTTCTTTTGAACAAATTCACAAACACATACAGTGCTTCTTTCTTATTGCTATCCTTGTGTGGTTGATGAAATGGGGGACAAGCACCATCTCGACGACAGCAGCGATTTCACCTCCGAGGACGAAGGCACCGAGGATTACCGCCGCGGTGGCTACCACGCTATCCGAATCGGCGACACCTTCAACGCCGGTTGCTATGTCGTTCAGTCTAAGCTCGGTTGGGGCCATTTCTCCACTGTCTGGCTCGCTTGGGACATCAAACATTCTGTCTGTTCCTCTCTCTGTTTGCTTTTTTTTTTTTTTTAAATCTTTTCCCGTGTTTGTTTTAGGTTTATTCAAGGAATGGTTTTGTTTTTGCCTTTTTGAGTTCAGTTGCGTGTTAGTCTGGTTATTTTTTCTAGAATCTATGAAAGAGATTATTGGCGTTTTGGCAGTGGATGACACCAAATTGGGAGAGTTTTTTTTTGTGTTTTGGATTTTGTTGACTTGTTTTGTTTTGTTTTGTTTTTTTTTTTGTGTGTGGAAATCTGCAGAGGTATGTGGCTTTGAAGGTTCAGAAGAGTGCTCAGCACTACACCGAGGCGGCCATGGATGAGATAACGATTTTGCAACAGATTGCGGAGGGAGACCCTGACGATAAGAAATGTGTGGTGAAGCTTTTGGACCATTTCAAGCATTCTGGTCCCAATGGGCAGCATGTCTGCATGGTGTTTGAGTACCTTGGGGACAATCTTTTGACACTTATTAAGTACTCTGATTACCGTGGGTTGCCTATCGCCATGGTTAAGGATATTTGCTTTCATATTCTGGTTGGATTGGATTACTTGCACAAACAGCTTTCCATCATACATACTGACTTGAAGCCTGAAAACATCCTGCTTTTGTCGATGATTGATCCATCTAAGGATCCTAGGAAGTCTGGGGCGCAGCTTATTCTTCCTAATAGTAAGGACAAGATGGTGCTAGAGTCGTCAGGTGTGAAAGATACGAAGATGTTGAATGGGGATTTGGTTATGAATCACAAGAAGAAGATAAAGAGAAAAGCTAAACAAGCAGCCCATGGTTGTTTTGAGATGGAAGTTTCTGAAGGAGTTGAGGGTAATCCTGAAACTTCTGGGGCTGTGGAGTCGTCTCCTAATGCGAGTTCTACAAGGGCTTCCAGTTCTGCAGGAACTAGTAGGTTATCGGATGCTGATGGAACAAAGTTGAAAGAGCAGGGTAACAAAAGAGGAAGCCGATCAATGAGACAGAAGCTGCTGGCATCAGTTGATCTCAAGTGCAAGTTAGTGGACTTTGGTAATGCCTGCTGGACATATAAACAGTTTACTAATGATATCCAGACAAGACAGTATCGGTGCCCAGAGGTGATTCTTGGGTCAAAATATTCTACGTCTGCCGATCTTTGGTCCTTTGCTTGCATTTGTTTTGAGCTTGCAACTGGAGATGTGTTATTTGATCCTCACAGTGGTGACAACTTTGATAGGGATGAGGTATGTGTATTTTGTTTACTTTTTTTACGTTCTACCTGATCATTCTAATGAGATTGCCATCCTTACCAGTTGTGGGAATTAATCTATGTATTTTTGGTTTGCATACCCTCTCCCTACAAATAGAGGAAAGAAAGTATTTTCCACTATGTTTACACACAAACTTTGGGTGTTTGAAAACTGCAGACTAGATAAAACATATGCTAGTATGGTAAGATCTATTAAAGTCCGGCATTGTTCATGGAATGGGCTGTAGAAATTTTATGGTATTATTCATGTTGATGACTTCACGACTCCTGTATTTTTGGTTTAGAGATGTTTTTTGTTCTTTGTAAATATGGATAAATTTGGTTTTGGCCTTCCATTTTCTTCCTGCATTTGATTCTAATAAGTATTAAAATGATCCTTGTCACCAATTAGTACTAACATGATATGTATTTAATCTTGGCATGTTAGCAACCATTCTAAGGTGGCATACAATGTGAGTTGAATGCTGCTTTAACTGTGGTCACCCTTAGCTTGCCTTAATTGTGGCTTACCAGAGTTTGTTGTTGGTTTTAGAAAAGGGCTAACTAAAAAGGTTAAGTTAAGCGCTGTAATGTACAATCACCAGGATGCTGTCTCTCAATGGATTGAAATCCTACATTGACTAGATATATGACCTGTGTAGTCCTTATAAATCATGAGTAGTCTTCACCTTACAAGTAACTTTTGTGAGGTTGATTTAGGCATTAACCCAAATCTTAAGATAATATCAAAACCTATTCTAGATCCACCATTAGGCCACTACATGCCACGCTTTATGCCCATAGCCTTGGGCATGAAAGGGGTGTGTTGGAAGGCCTGTTTACCTTAGTTGTGGCCTATTACAATTACTTGTCAATGTCTCATAAAGGGCTACCTACTGAGAAACTGGCTAGGAAGGCTGAGTGAAGTGTCATAGTGTGAAACCACTAGGAGATAAAATCTTAGTGGGTTGAGATCCCACATTCACCAGAGTTATAACTAATGTAGTTCTTATAAAATTGGGTAGTCTTCATTTTACAAACCAATTTTCTAGAGTTGAGTTAGGTCATTAGTCCAAATTATAAGAACATGACATGTTTACATGCATGTCATGTTAATAAGTGGTGATATATACCATTTTCAACAATTTCAAGATTTATGAGGACCAACAACAACAAAAGTCTTATCTCACTAGGAAATCTTGTGTCAATCAGAATTAACAAATGTGATTTGGGGGATGGTGACCAAATTTAGCCGTATTTACGTGGAGTATATTTTACCCTTTCATGTTTCCAATTTCTTCATTCCTTGGTTGAAGGGATTAAATATGTTGACTTTTTCAAGCACAAATTGTTGAAGGTGTTCTGAATCCGGACACGAAATTACTTAATGTGGATGACCATACTTGATAGGTTCTTGGATCAAGAACCTATGGAAAAACACTCGAATACACACAAAGACAATATATCTGAATTATACAGCCTCCTTTTATTGAAAAAGAATCAGTAAGAATGGTGTTACAACGTAACCAGAGAGCTTAACCTCCCTCCAAAGAACTACAAGAGTTCCCGCCAAACAATAACACTCAAAGACTCCCTCTCTCACCAACCAACCCACCCCTTTTATACTGACTTACCTAACTGCCAGGCAGTTAGGCTGGGTAATGTTTCTTCTTCTACTAGATACAATTAGTTCCCTAACAATACTTCACAGCTGAAGTTAATAAATCTGATATAAAGCTCAAATATCATCGAAACCATAAATAGGACCACTGACTGAAGTAATAAAACTCACGGAATGATTTTAACTATTTTTAAACCTTTTTTTAAAACTACAATTATCCAAAATACAAAATTTTAACTCACGGAATGATACAGTTATAGCCCAAGTCAGCACCAAAACCTTTTTGTGGAGCTCAATGAGTGCAAGTGAAACAATTTATCTTAATTTGTGTAACATTCAGTATATCTTTGATTTAAAAAAGAAAATTCTTTATGCATCAATGCATGGAGCGTCCCATATCCTATGCACAATGTTAGCTTTGTACCTTTCCTTGTCCATATGGTAGTGGCTGTTGAGGGCCTGATGTGTATCTTCCAGCTCTCATATAACTGCTATTGGGATCAGTAATCTTGGTGAGCCTTCAGTGGAACATAAACTTACTAGCTCAATGAGCAGTTTTGGTAGATGATTTTTCTGTTTATATGTTAACTATATTCTAAGGTTTTTGTTTTGTCATAAACAAATAATTTTATAAGAGAGGATAAGTTGTGCCTTGCCTTCTAAAATATAGAGAAACGTGAAAGCAAACAAATTCCACAACAAAGTTGCCCTGTTTTACTAGGCAATATAGATTAGGAATGTAAGCATTAGGAAGAAGGTTGGGGTAGCACATTGCAGAACAGATGGTAAAATCTTGTCTTGGTTGGTTTGGGCATTTGTGGAGAGATTTGTAAAAGGAGATTAGATAGATGGAGGGTAGGCCAGGCCTTAGAAGTAGAGGAAGACTGAAAAACTACAGGCAAAAACTAAAAAGGTAAGTCAATAATTTGCTTTTATATGTTTCGGTAAACAAATAGTTTAGTGCTTGCCGAATAAGTTCTTATCATAAGTTGGTTTTATTAAAGAGGAAATGGGGCTAGCCTTTTTCTTATGCAAGTTACATAAGATATCATGAGGAGCTTTCTAAAATATGCTGAAAATAACGTTTGGACGTATCAAGTGTTTGTATCATAAGATAAGCCCCTATAAGTTGTAAATAAGCTAATTCTAAACACATCCATAAGTTATGATAGAATATGATGACACATTTCATACTTTTAGTCAACCCTAGGAAAAGGCCTGGCTAGTTTTTGTCATAATTATCTAGTCTTGTTGAATATTAGTAATAGAAAGTAAACACATTTGCAAACACCATGGGTTAAACATCATATAAAACTCAAATCCAAATTCTAGCATCGAGG